GCATGCGATTAATGAGATAACATGCAGTAAGAAGAGCATCACCCCAAAAATGTTGAGGAACATCTCCATGAATTAAAAGTGTGCGAGTTGTTTCAATAAGATGTCTATTTTTACGTTCGACTACACCATTTTGTTGAGGTGTATAAGCACAAGAAGTTTGATGCAAAATACCGTGAGAAGCCATGAATTGTTTAAAAGAATGAGAAAGATATTCACGGCCATTATCACTACGCAAAACTCTAATAGAAACACCGAACTGAGTTTGAATTTCATTAAAAAAAGTTTGAAAGATATGAAATAATTCAGAACGATTTTTCATCAAAAATAACCAAGTGCATCTGGAATAATCATCAATGAAAGTAACAAAGTATTGAAAACCTAAAGTAGACTTAACGCGGCTAGGTCCCCAAATGTCAGAGTGAACCACGGCAAAAGGGGACGAAGCACCACGTGTGAAACTACGAGGAAAGGAAGTACGACTATGCTTGCCTAATTGACATGACTCACACGCCAAACTAGATAAGTTAGACAAGGCAGGGACAAGTTTCTGTAACTTGGCAAGGCTTGGATGACCTAACTGAGCATGAAGAAGAGAGGGAGACTCCATAACTGTACTAACATGTGTAGAGGGACGGAGATAATAAAGACCATGAGACTCACATCCCGTGCCAATCACCCGTTTCGAACTCCGGTCCTGTAAACACACAGAATTGTTGGTAAAAGTAACAACACAATCAAGAGAACGAGTTAGACGATCGATGGACAACAGAGTTAAAAGGAGACCCAGGGACATAAAGAACATTATCAATGGTTAAAGAAGGAAAGAGTTTAACCGTTCCAACACCATGAGATGATACTCTAGAGCCATCAGCCAGTGTAACAGAAGGTAAATGATTAGGAGAGGATAAAGAGGAGAACAAAGATTTGTTACCAGTAATATGATCAGTGGCTCCTGAATCAAAAACCCAAGGACCAGGAGAAAATGATTGGGTCGGACCAAGCAAAATATGTATTTGTATGTGTGACGAGATATAGTGGAACTAGAAGACTCGTTGATCCTTATACCATTCGAGAAATTTGTTGAACATAGCGGACATGTCGGATGCAACGGAAGAAGGAAGATCCCCTACGGATAAAGGTGGGGAAAGATTGGTCCGAACAACTACAGCAGACCGAGGAGAACGACCATGTAATGTATAACACTTGTTAATCTTGTGACCTAGCTTGCCACAATGTTCACACTTAGGACGCCATTTTTCCTGTTTGCGAGGGCGAGCCCGGTCATCACGATGGGATGTCAACACAAAAGAGTCGTTAACAAAATTGGAAATAGTGGAAGAAGTCATGAAGAGCGGAGAACAAACCCCGACCGAGACAAGCAAAATCATATGTCACCGGTAAAAAAAAATGAAACTCCGGCGAATTCTCCGACGACGGCGGACCCGAGTGACTCGCTCCGAGCAGCGGTGATGAGTAACGTGAACTAGTACACTAGGTAAGTTCCCAGGAAAGAGAGGTGGGTCACTAATGGACACACTTAAATACCAAGTCTTTCCTTGCCGGAACTTTCCTAAACATGCACTTTCACACTACCAAATAAAATTCAATGACAAAGATAATTCTTTTCGATGTGGAGGATCGGTTTACCGACAGCGGTGGGGCGGCTCTAGCAGCGGTGGGGCGGCTCCAACAGTGGACAAAAGGCGGAAAAAAAATTCAAGATAACCTTAAGCTCTAGATACCATGTTGAATATAAAGAAAATATAGTTTGGAATTAATTTCCCTTGTGTATAAATCACACATAGGGTGGTCTATTTATAGTAGAGAAATACAACTAAAAGAGTAACTGAAAGTAACAGAATAAACAGAAGATATTGTTTGATATTGTGGTTACCAATATCTAACAATATCTTAACAATATCAAATAATATATAAACAATATCTAACAATGATGATGATGCTATAACAATTGAACTATCTTCAAATGTTGATGAGTAATGCTCTTTTTAATCATATGTTTAAATTTGCATGAACAATTTTCTTGTTGCATTGTAATATTTGACATATTTGATGGACTGTAACTACTAATACTTGATATAACTCTGACATTATATTTGCTTTTTAATGCTATTACTACTTTATGTTTAACCTTTTTTTCATTAAGTCCAAAGGGGGAGAAGAGTTTATTTAAAGAAAGTCAAGAGCTTACTCAAACTGCTGCTATTTTGCTATGATGGAGATTGTTAATGAAGAAGGAACATTATTTGAAAATCACTTTTGGATGATGTCCATTATAAGTTAGCTAGGTAAATGAGTGAGTAGTTTTGTATAAAGCTAAATAATATAATATTTGAGAGTAAAAATAATCAATTATATAAAAACTAAATTTGTATTAATCGATTAGATAAGTATTTAATCAATTATATGGCTTAAAATCATGTTTTCATAACACGCACTAATAATTGATTATGTGGCTAAATCTCTTGTTTAACATAACACACTAATAATCGATTATGTTGGTACCTAATCGATTATATGACTTATTTTTATATTAGCATTGCACCCAAATAATCGATTAGATATCATGCTAATGAATTATCTACGATAGTTATAACATATTTTTTTCTCTATAAAAGAATGTAAACTTTTTTCAATCAAATATATCTTTTAGAAATAATTAAAGCAATAAGAAAGAATGTTGTGGGCATCAAGAAAAGTGAGTGATTCTGTAAAATTCTTTGAAGATTAAATTCAAAGAAAATGTTATTTGACTATAGAGTGTAATGTTCTATGAGTTTAAGGTGAAATTGTTTCTTATTTTTTTCTTATGAATCTTGTATTGAATTTTAATGTACGTGAGACTAGTTACATCAGTTTAATTTGAAAATAGTGAGGAGAAACATTTTAAAATATTGTGATATTGATTAAAAGTTGTTGTTAGTCAAGATTATTAGATTATGTTGTAATCTATTTTAATAAAAAATTCTAGACTAAGGTTGCTTGGTTAAAACTAGATATAAATTTACAAATAATCGAACCAATATAAATTCTTGAATTCTTTTCTTTTTCTCCTTATCTTGATATTTTTATTTTTTTAATAATGTTATAATTATTTTATATTTAATTATCAAAAAAATTCTTTAAAAATTGATTAGAATTGAAAAGATTTTAAAAATTTCATTCACCTTTTAATTATGTTATGTCATTATCAATTTTATAACATATTGAAATTTTATAAAATAATAATCAACGTATAGTAGATTCACCTTTTAAGTATGTTATGTGATTAACATTTTTATAACATATTGAAGTTGTATATAATAATAATCAACGTCTAGTAGATTATATTGATGTGAAATCCATAAAATATTTCAATACTAATGTCCATACCCATAGAATGGTCATGCTTCAGCATGCACTCTAATAGAGAACGGAATATGCATGAGTGTGCCAACATTAGAACCAGTATAGACACGTGGTCAATTTTTTGGCTAGCCGAGATTTTGTGACAAAACCAAAACTAAACCAACACTAATTAATATAAACACTAAAACAAGTAATAGAATTAACAGCAAGATAAGGACCATGATTTTTCTATCATTTTTTAAATATATAATATTAATTTAATCGGTTTCCTTTTCATCAATAGCATAATAATAAAAATAATATATTTTATTTGATAAAATATAATATTATTTTATAAGCTATGAAAAAAAATAATTTAAAAAAAATTCAATATTTTTATTTATAATATTAAATTAATAAAAACACTTCCATATGTGTAACTTCATATCGTATCATTTTCTTTTTCTTCCCACAATACTAAAATAATTGTTTTTCTCATCCTTCGTAATTAGAGTAATATTTTTTTATTTAATAAAAGATACATAGTTATATAATATAATTTTACAAATGATGATTGAAAAATAAGTATAAAAATAAATCTCCTTTATATAATAATATAAATTAATAATATTTATTCTTGACTAATTTTAACCTTTATTTTTATTTATTTTTTTAACCCTTAGTATTTTATCTTATTTGAATAAAAAATTAATTAATTATGTGATTAAAAATAATCAATATATTTATATTATTATTTTAAAAATTAATTTAAATAATATTATTAAAAAAATATTTTAATGAAAGAAGTTATGATATAATATTATGTGAAATCTCAAATTTAATTATTCAAAACAAAAATAAAATAATTATATAATTAGATGTTATATTTATGAAACAAGAAAAATAAAAATATGATATATTTAAAATTTATAATAATTAAAATTAATTTTAAATTTTTAAAGATTGTTTTTAAAAAAATATATAAGAACCATAATACCTATGTTTTCAAATTATATATAAAGAAGCCAAGGAAATTCACTTTTCTGAAAAGTACAAATAGTATTTTCATGTAAAAATATTTATTATACTATTATTAGATATTATAATTAATAAAATATTATTTTAATAAAATATAAAGAAACTACAATTTTTAAAATTTAATATATATAATTGACAAAATTTTGAATTAGTTTGCTATATGTTAAAAACATTCAAATTACCTAACTAGCAAATTTGAACCATTTATATTTCAAACAAAGATGTAATTAGATTTAAATAAGTTAATATAAAATTTTAAAATAATTTTTAATATTTTATAATAATTTTTTACTGTAAATAAATTTTTATATTATTATTATTATTATGAAGATATAAAATTATCATTATATATTATTATAAAATATAATTTAGTTTTATATTAATTAAAATTAAAATAAATATTTTTAAAATTCCTTATCAATTCTGCGTTTTTTCCATCTTAGGGTTTGCATCTGCGGAAGCAGAGAATGGTGCTCGCAGAGAAGCCGAATGTCCGGAGGCACTAATGGAGTACAGTGAAGACGATTTTAGCGGCACTTCCGCCATCACTTGTCTTCAGCAGTGACGACATCGACGAAGCTAGCCAAGATCTCAGCCTCAAGATTGTCGAGAAAGCCATGCGAATGCGATCAGGCAAGCGTGCCGCCCTTAAAGACGACGTTTCGTCTTCGCAAACACCCGAACCTGCTGTGACCCCAAAAAACGGCGTTTCGGATGCGCCCAGCTTAATCGGCGATTCAGGTGATGGAGAAAATAACTATGTTGATGGGTGAGGCTGTGGATCGAAGTGTGAGTGTTGTTTCCTGTTTGGCTCATTCCATTTTTGAATAAGCAAACTTAGGCTTTTTACTCTATTTTTTGTTAAATGTCGAGTTGAACTTCCTTTGGTTTAATCTAGACGTTCCTTCATGATTACAACATGGTTTTAGTGTAATTAGATGCAGTGTTAATCTATTTACTTGAAAAAAAAAAGTCTTAAATTGCGGTTGCAGCTTTTACACTTATCTTGTAATTGTGGGAAATTGTGGCAAATGCGGTCGGAAAACTGTGGTCAAACCTTCATAATGCAGACAACCCATTTTTGCAACCTTGCCAAAAATATATTGTTTTTCTGTAATAGAATCAAATTTGTATTCCCCAACGGATAATCACGTTTAGGGTACTGTTTGTGTGGAAAAAAATGATTTTTTATTTTCTGTTTTCTGTAGGTTGTTATAGCTGAAGAACAAGAGATGAAAGAGAGAGTCAAGGCTACTCAGAATCATGAGTATGCGGAAGGAAGTTGCTTGTGAGATGAAATCTTTTATATGAAATGGCATTTTGAAATTACTAATGTCCATGAGTTGGGGTAATTGGGTATATCATATCTCTGTTTTTGTTATAAGGAAAGAATGGATGAAAAGTGTAATTGTATTGAATGTTAGGCAAAGTACATCTTATATATAAGATAGCTTTACAGTTGTAACAAACTAATTAGCAGAATTTAAACTGAATTTATAATCAATATTCCCTCAAGTTGCAGTATATATATTTTTAATGCTCCGCTTGGACAACAAAGATTGAAACTATGTTGGATGCAATGCTTGAGTGTGAATGTCTGGAAGCTGTGCTGCAGTAGGAATAGTAAGAGCTTAATAACACCTGTTTGAACTTTATCCCTTATGAGATGATAATCAATTTCAATATGTTTTGTCTTTTCATGCATTTGTGCAATTTGTATGATAGATCGATATCACAAAATAAAGGAATTGGTTGTGGTAGAGACTGTTTCAAATCATGGAGCAAATACAGAAGCCATTGAATTTCACATGCTGTGGATGCTAAGGCTTTATATTCTGCTTCAGTTGATGATATAGATATAGTTCCTTGCTTCTTGGACTTCCAGCTGATTAATGATGTACCATAGAACACATTAAAACCAATTATAGACCTTCTAGTTTTAGGGCAAGCAACACAATCAGAATCACTAAAAGCCTTGAGTGTATGTTCTATATTGGAGGGAAAGAATAATCCTTGTTCTGGACTGATCTTGATGTATCTCAAGATCCTTATTGCTGCTACATAGTGATTGATCGATATTGTACTCGGTCAAATAATTAAAACAGATAAATGTATTACTAGGAAGCTTTCCTAGGTTGTCTCCCAAAGACCACAAATTTCTATCAAAGCTTATCAATTTTTTGAATTAGAACAGTAACAAAAGAGGTTTTTTTTAGAATTAAAATATTAGATGAAACAGAATAAAAGCAGATTATAAAAATGTGGATTAAAAACATATTAGAATGCAATTGATATCCTGATTCCAATGTAGCACCACTTATCCTAGGTTACGAAATTAATTTGAAATTAACCAATTAAGCAAAGATAAATCCCAAATTATATTCCAATCCAAAATTAATCAACTAAGCGAAAATTAATCCCAAATCAGTTTTAACTTTTATTCCAATATGAAATTAATCAACTAAGCAAAGATTAACCCCAAATTATCCTTAACCCTTATTTCAATATGAAATTAACCAACTAAGCGAAGATTAACCCCAAATTATCCTTATACAATTAAGCATTGTATATATCACATAATCTCATTTCTAACACAGAATTAAGTAAACTGTGATATTAGTTTCGATTTATTAAGCATAAACAAATTATAATTCAACACTTAGATTAGAAGATAAAGAGTTAAGAGAACAAATGAAATGAAATTGAAGAACAAAACCTCAAAGATCGACTTGTATTTTTCTCAGAAAATCAATATAAAGATTTAACTATTCATGAAATATCGAAAATGCATAAGAGACATAATAAAAATCAAAACAAAAATTTAAAATAATGATAGAAGAGTAAACAAACATGAATATAAATTGCAGAAGATGAAAGGCGGCTGCGTGGTGGTCGTTATTTCTCAACCCTACATCTCGCTTATATAAATAACCCTAACCCTAATCTTAATCTAGGTTTGTGTCCAATTCATCCACAAAACACATCATAAGTTGGTTTTATTGCAGGTCCGTGAACTTCAAACACGTGCAGTATTTTCAATACTTATCCAAATTAAGCGATTCTGGTCTCCTTTGAAAGACTTTTGAGTTAGCTTTAAAACGCCACCGTTTCTACTATTTTTGGAGGTCTAATGAATTTAGGAGACTTAAATTACTGAAGCATGTCCATTAGGTCGATCTGGTGCGCTTGACCCGTTTTGGATAATTTATGTAAAATCTAATTTAGCTCCGAATTGAATGATTCTAGATCCTCTGGAAAGCTGAATGTGTCTAGTTTATAATGCTTCCATAATCATGATTTTTGGAGCTCTATAGAAAAAATGATAAAATATGACATTTGACCCAATGTTTCAAGCCCAAAATTGCTTTAAACTGTTTTGAAAATAATAATGAGCAAAAATTAGATCAAATAGATTCAAATTAATTAAAATCTGAATTATTGGCCCAATGAAGCCCAATTAATAAAAATTCACTAATAACAAATAGTTAAGCCAAAAACACTAATTAAAATAAGTTCGGAAAGGGAAAAAATATGAGAATATAATGACTCATCAAAGAATCCCACACTTAGCCTTTTGCACTCCTGGGCAAAATCAAGAAGCAAAGCAAAAAAATAAATTAAAAAAACATTAAAGAAAAATCATGCGAAGGACAGAAACAAAAACATAAACAAATATACATACTTCTCAATGAAACTTGGGAAACGAAAGGAATAGACAATCTCCAACATTCAAAGAGTCAAAGAAACCAGACATCTATGAACATCATCCAAACAATTCAAAACATGTCAAGAAAATCAATCTGCCCAAGAGGTAAATAAAAAACAACAAAATCTCATAAGATATGCACTGTATCACTCAAGTGTTTAGACTACTATTTACTCTCAAAACACTCATGAAAAACAAGCACCACATAGACTTGACAAGTCTCTAAAATCAACAACAAAAAATACATGTACAAAAGGATCAAAAGGTATTTCCAAGGTTGTAATGGGGCCAAGGATAAGGTGGAGGATATCATATGGGACATAGCTAAGAACCTTAGGAATTAGAGGAGTAATGGGGAATAAGTCAAAAATAAACATCAGAGCATGCTCAAATACCTCTAATACCAATCCTTTCAATTTCCTTTTCCTCAACAACAATTTTCTTTCTTTTGAACTTCTTTTTGATTTTCACGTTTTTTTTTTTGAAATTAAATTGCATAAAGTGTACATTAAGGAATCAATTAGCCAGTATATCATCCAATGAAAACACACCCGTACACTTATTGAGTTATTCCCAAAATGATGTCAAAGCTCCAAAAATCCCTAAGGTTAAGGTAATCATGGATTTTTCACTTGAGGCTTGTAATGAATGAGCTTTAAAAGAAGTAAAGGGAAACATAGGCTCAAATGGGCTATCAAGGGAATTGATTCAGGGTAGGCTTGTTTGGTTAGAGGTTAATCACAACACAAATTGCCTTAATCAGCTCCAAACATGTATGTGAATTGAGAAACATTAAAAAGAGTCAAGCCAAGGCTACTGTGCAAGCAATCAAGATGCATAACACAATAAATAAAGAATAGAGAATGTCTCAAAACTTCACACAGGGTAAATCTGTCACTTCCAAATCAACCTCTCAAACCTCAAAATCAACTTAACATGCAAAGAACAATGATTTCAATGCATAGAATATTAAGCAATTCATATCCAAGAGTGAAGTAAGTGACTACCTATACAAAACCCAGAAATCAAAGAAAAATATGCAAAACTATACACAACATAAAATAAAAACCTACAATCCTACATCTCTCACCCCACACTTAAATTAGACATTTTTCTCAATGTAAACATAATCATATCCACTAAACAAATAGGACAAGCAAGATAAAAAAGTTGAAGGGGAAAGAAGAACTCCATGATCATGGTGAGAATTTCTTATAATCAATGCAGACCCTCCAATTGTTTTGCACTCTTGATGGAATCAGCTCATCTTTCTCATTCTTCGCCACAGTAATGCTTGTTTTCTTTGGGACAACCTGAACTGGACTCACTCATTGACTATCAAAGATGGGGTATATGATCCCAACCTGTAGAAGCTTGGTCACCTCCTTCTTGACGAGGTCTTAAATCACCGGGTTGAGCCTCCTTCGTGGCTGTTTCACTAGTTTGGCTCCATCTTCCAAGAAAATCCTATGCATGCATTTGGACGGGCTAATACTAGGAATGTCTGCCAAGATCCATCTAATGACCTTTTTTCGCAATTTAAGCACTTGCAACAACTTCTCCTCTTCATCATCATGAGGGAGGTGGAAATGATCACCAGTAGTCTCTCATCATCCTCCAAGTAAGTATACTTGAGATTCTACGGTAGTTCTAGTATGGGTGTTTGCTGAACAATAGAAGGAACCAGAGAAGGGGAAGGAATGGGTTTCACAGCCTGTACCTCAACCTACAAGTCAGATTCATGTGTATTTCCTGCAACAGGGTTAGTGCATTCTGACTCTATAAAATCAAAATGAAAAGGTACAACACCAAAAACATCAGATTCATGTGCATGATCAGAATGTGTATCAGCATTTGTATCAGTCATGTCAGTAGTTGTATCAATATCAATATTCAGAAATTGATCAATGCAAGAACTACACACTTTAGAATCAGTACATGCAAGACAGGTGAGGGAATTATGTAGAGATAGGAAGTCAACATCATGAAAGAATTCAAATACATATTCATCAATTAATTTATCAATCAAATCAACATGAAAGACAAAATGATCCTCAGATGGGTATTTCATGGCATTTAGAATATTAAAGCGCACCACAATGTCATTAAATTCCATGGATAAAGTCCCTGCATGCACATCAATTTTGGTTCGTGCGGTCTTTAAAATTGGTCTGCCTAAAATGATGGGTGCAGAACCACGTGAAAATCCCTCATCCATATCAAGAATATAAAAAGCAGCTGGGAAAATCAACTCACCAACCCTAAGTAAGATATCCTCAATGAAACCTATAGGGTGAGTAACCCTCTTGTTTGCCAACTGAATAACTATACTTGTAGGTTGTAGAGGTCCAAGAGAAAGAGATTTAAATATAGACAGAGACATGACATTAATTGAAGCACCCAGATCAAGCAAAGCATTTTCAAATTTATAATTACCTATGATACAAGGCACACAGAAAGTACCTGGGTCCTTGCATTTCTCAAGAATTTGAGGATTTACCTATTAGTGCTAATACATTTCTGCCCATGCTAATCCACTCATTTTCCTTTAGCTTCCTCTTATGTGTACATAACTCCTTTAGAAAT